AGTCACGTGATGTTGCTGTGACGTGTAGCTCAGTTGATTTAAACAGATTTTGGTTCTGTCTTCCTACCAGTGGAGGCAGGACGACAGCGCCACCTGCAGCCCCACTTCCTCAGGACAGAATCCCAAGTGTGTGAGAGGACAAAAGCCCCTCGTCCCAGTTTATCGTCCATAGAGAAGCACGTTCTGGACTGGGACGAGCAAACATCACTGGGACAGAGGAAAACAAACATCGTCACTGGATTAAAGAGGAAATCGAAATACGGAAACATGCCAACGGGACGATACCAGTACGAGGGGCTTTTTTCCTCTCACATACCTGGGATACTGTCCTGAGGAAGTGGGACTGCAGGTGGCGCTGTCGTCCTGCCTCCTCCAGTAGGAAGACAGCACCAAAACCTGTTTAAATCAACTGAGCGACACGACACAACATCACGAGACTCTGAGGAAGAACACAGGAGCAGAAACAAACTGTCAAGGATGAAAACAAACTCTTGATCTGAAAAAAATAATCTAATAACATCAAATATCAGAAAACTAAATGAATTATTAGACTCATTGGACTATTCTGCTCTCTACTTGTTCTGATCCAGCTCTAGATCATTCTAAACACGATCAGGAAAGGTTCTTTTCTGTCCTGTGAACGGGACTTTTTAGTATCGATACCTGCACAAATGACTATCTAGTTTTGGCTGACAGATTTTTGATACTTTTGACAACACTAGTCCATATAGATCCTTATAATCCTAATGAAATAATAATCACCTATTGACAGATTTGGTCGACTAAGACCCCGTAGACCCAATCGACTAAACGACTAAGCCCCATTACACACTAGAACAGGGCCTAACGTCCACAGGCCCAGTGTGGTTCCTACACAAGGAACTAAACATTAGACTAAGAATGGACAATGGTGCCAAAAGTGCATCAGTGTGAGTCTGTCGGCACCACAGCCCTGGCCCCTGTCACGGACGCGGCCACGGGCTTCTTTACGCACGCAGCAGCCTCCACAAACCGACCGAGGAACGAATCGTGTCCTCCGCACACCACGTACCCCACCAGCACGCTGGCGCACTCATGTCCCGTAGCCAAACCGCGCTGTAATCCAACTTTGGGCTGTCATTTCGCTCGTAATTACACGGCTTTAACCGGAGCAGGTGTCCGCCATCATCCCTCCATCCAACCCCCCCGCCCCTCCCCGCGCTGCCTCCCCGTTACCTGCCGTGTCAGTGAGCCGGGAGAAGGGCTGCGGTCGCGGCCGGAGCGGAGGACATGTCCCCCCGCTGTGAGGCTCGGCTGTGGCCCGGTGGAGAGGCCGCGGAGAGGCTGTGAGAGGCTCGGAGCGGCCTGCCTGGTGCGGCTGTGCTCACGGTCCCGTTAGCGGAGCTGAGCCGTGGGATTAGAGCGGAGCTGGAGAAAGCCACGCCCGCGCACAGTGACGACAGAGCGGCTTAAGAGAGAGCGCACAAAGGCCGCGAGGAGCGTAAACAACAGCAGCTGAGAGGGGGACAGGACAGGGGGACAGGACAGGGGCACAGGCCGAGGAGGGGACACGCACAGGGGGACAGACAGAGGAGGACAGGACAGGGGACAGGACGGACAGGGGACAGGGGGACAGGAGGGGACAGGACAGGACAGGGGGACAGGCCGAGGGGGACAGGACAGGGGGACAGGCCGAGGGGGACAGACAGAGGAGGACAGGACAGGGGACGGGAGGGAGAAGCGGAGGGGGCAGGAGGATAGAGCGGGGACAAGTGAGCAGAGGCGGGGACAGAGACGTGGGACACATCACAGAGAGCGGGTGGAGGGACAGAGTGAATGTTTTCTACACAGCAAAAAGTGAAGTGTTCAAACTGACTCTCACAGAATTAATTCTAACATTTTCTCAGAGTTTATATGAGTCCAGTCTGTTCTCGAGTTAATTTAACATTTTTGGAGATGTTCATTAAGTAACACTGGACCAAAGTTCCTGTTTAACCCCAAAATCAAGAGTTATATTCATGTTTTGAGAGTAAACGGTAAGACTGCACTAATCGAGAGTCCAGACCGAGACAAGACCGAGACTTTTAAAGGCCGAGACCGAGACGAGACAGAGACCACGGCCCATCGAGACCAAATCGAGACCATCTTTGGCATTTCCTACATTTATTTGTATTTTACAGTTATTTTTGCACATTTATATCTATGTTTTTATAAATCTGTCACCATTTGATCTGCTTCATGTTCATTTAGATTTAAAATAGGCCAAACTGTTCTGTACTGAAACACTCTGTGCCCCTTGTTTGGACCCTCACCCACAGTTTGAGAAGCTCTTCTTTAATCCCACTTCCACTGGCTCTTTACACAAAACAACTTCAAAGTGAATCAAGTTTTTTGTTGTTGTTGTTGTTGTTTTGTTTTTCAAGTTCATAACATTTACAGTGACATTCTCTTACTGGTTTTGCTGTGATATTTAAGAGCCTCTGCACATTTACCAGCCGTAGTGAAATATGATCCCACCTGTCAAGTGTCAGACCTCGAGTCCGAGACAGGACCAAGACTGTAAAAAAACGGTCTCGAGGCCGATCTCGAGACCGAGATCAGTCTTGAATACAACATTACACAGCAAAAAGTGGAGTGTTAAAACTGACTCTCACAGAATCAATCTGAACATTTTGTAAGAGTTCTAGAGATAATTTTACATTTTTGGAAATTAAGTAACACTGGACCGAAGTTCCTGTTTAACCCTGGAATCCAGAGTTATATTCATGTTTTGAGAGTAAACAGACAACACTTTGTAGAGTTATCCTGATTTAGCTAAACAACACACAGAGGTGCTTTAATTTAAGATGAAATTCTGTACAGAACTGGTTCAAACTGGTCTTCTCTCTGGTCTTGAAGTGGTGGGAGGAGCCAAATGAACACTAAGAGAAGTTAAATTAACACTGGGAGAAGTTGAATTAACTTCAACCATTTCAACTCTGGCAAATAACCCCAACTCCAACCTCCATTAAACTTTCAAATAGGCGAGTTTCAGCTGACATCATTGTTATTAAAAGCCCGCGTTGCATGCTGGGAAATATTTTGGTCGGAGGCAAAAAACACAATAGTGGTCAAACACAGTGTGTAACCTCATGTATTTATCCCCGATAATGGTAAATTCCTGCTGCATTATCGGATGCACAAATAGAAACACGAAAGAAGGAAAATGTCTTTTTCGTATTCTGAGTGAAAAGAACCACTAACGGTGAATTAAACGACTTTCAAACATTCGCAGAGCAAACGTAGAAGATCCTAACAAACCGTGGACTCCAACAAGTTCAACAACACATCGAGACTCTTGGAGGTTTTCATCTTTTCTGCTGTGAATGGCCCAGGAGTTTCCACCAAGTCATTGTGGATATCACCAAAGTGAATATTTGTCCAGGCGATTCTGACTAGAAATTTGGTTTGGTCCACCTTTTGTCCGGGTTGAAAAGGGTGATTTGTCGTCCGTCGATGCTTATGACCAATTTCTGGTCAAATGGTCTTGGGTCCTCTGCTGTTAGAGTGGATAAATAACCGGGATCAATACCCTTTACGTGCTTTCTCACTCCGTCCGTCATGTTGAATTAGTGTTTTTTGCCGCCAACCAAAATAATTCCCAGCATGCAACACGCGCTTTTGTCAACAATGAAACTTGCCTATAACACTTTTTGTGTTAAAAACAACTAAAAATGTTAACCCTCCAGTTTTTGCGGTGTATATTGTGCTATTTTCAGATCTGTGTTCTAGTGTCACAAACACACACACACACACACAAACACACACACACACACACACACACACACCTGGAGTTGTGTTTTGTTTCATTCACACGTTTAAAACACACAAACCCTGAACATTCAGACTGGGTTCTTCTCTCAAACAGAAAACACTCTGTTCCACCTGGTGATGTCATGAGGTAATACAGGAAGCGCTCCACTGTGTTTTTAAAGTCCATACACTTAGAATCGTGGAAAATTTCACCTCTGGAATTTCAAATCTCGACTGAACTAAAGGTAAAGAAGCTGTTCACCTGGAAAAATACCACTTCATGACATCATAAGGTGGAACAGAACATTTGGAGCTTTGTGAGATGAGATGTAGTCAGACTAATAATGCAGAATTACTCAAATATGCGAATGAAACAAAACACATCTGCAGTATGTTTTTGAGGAGGGGACAACTTTATATCATGTCTAAAAGCTCAGAAGAATCCTTTGTGTGTAATACAGGCAGTGTTGGGAAGTAACAGATTACATGTACTGGAGTTACGTAATCAGAGTACAAATTATGAGTAACTGTATTCAGTTACAGTTACTGTTTCAGTGAGTGGTAATTGGATTGCAGTTACTTTATTGAAATAAATTGATTACACACAGGTATTTTCCTGTTTTCACATTTTGGGCTATATCCCTTTTTTTATTTTTCAGTAATTCCACTCATTGCCGGAGACTAAACCAGGTCTAAACCAGGACTAAACCAGGTCTAAACCAGGACTAAACCAGGACTAAACCAGGACTAAACCAGGACTAAACCATGCCTCAAACAGGATTTAACAGGACTAAATCATGCTGTGTGGACTGTGTTTCCATCTCTTCTATTAATATTTTTTATTTGGTTAAGTAAATACTGGGCTTTTTATTTTCTTTTATCAGACAAAACTTATGTTACGATATTCTGGTCTTTGCTTCTCTACAGCAAATCAAGTAATCCAAAGTATTCAGATTACGTTACTCACTTTAATTTAATGGATTACGTTACAAACTACATTTTGGGGTATGTAATCTGTAATCTGTAGGGGATTACATTTGAAAAGTAACCTTCCCAACACAGGACCATAGAAGAAGAATACTTTTAGTGCGAATTAAACTATAACATATGTAGATTATGATTTAACATCTACTAATACTGATCCAAAAGGGTTTATTAATAAAAAAATATATATAAAAAGGTCCTCTCACTTCCTGTTCAACACTGCAGAAACAATAAGCCACGCCTCCTCATCGTCTCATTTTATTCAAACTGCATCCAAATGTAGACAGTTTCATGGGTTTTAGCTGCAGTAAAATCCATCTTGAAGTCAAAGGCGGCACGGGGGCCCGGGTCAGTCCAGTCACAGCTCCTGGAGACCCACGAGCACCGTGTTCAGCTCTGAGTTCTCCGGCTGAAGAGTCTGGATCTCGAGGAGCAGCTCAGACATCTGACACAGGACGGCACTGGACACAGAGACAACAGTAAGAGCCAGAGCAAACTCAGAGGACATGTCTTCTGCTTTTCAGAGACACATGACACAAAACTGTCTCTGGTTAGATCCTTCCAAGTTAGGACAGTTGTTACGGTTCCAGACCCTTTTACACTGGTATAGCCTCAGACTGTATGTGACAAAGAGGGCCTTTGTCCACATTTTTTCACTTTATTTCATTTACATCTATCAACTAAACAGCTAAATAATTACTATCCCGGGTTTGTTTTATTTAGTGTTTGTTTAGTTAAATTGATCAAGCCTTTCATCCAATTGGTTCACTGAAGCTTCTTGAAGCTTCATTTGCTCTAACAGGACATCTACTGGACACAAAAATATCAGTTGACATGAATTTGAAGTGTGTGACATTTTGCAGAAAGCCTGTGAATAAAACTGTCAGCAAAATAAAGAAGTATGTAAAACATGTATATTGTAGTGATGGCAGTGTACTGTGTATCTATATACTGGCAGTATGGAAAATGATTATTTGAAAATGATGAAAATGAAAAAGCAGCAAAATCTGAACCATTTCCTGAATCAGTCACGTGGTACAGCCGGGCAGCGAGGCTTCGGACGTCATCATTTTCAGTTCCTCCCCTAAATGAAGCAAGCCTCGATACGCGCATCGCGGAAACGCCCCCTCCCTACTCGACACACGCTTCGAAGCCTCGATACGGAACATCACATCACTAGTAAATATGTATTTAAATTTGCCCACAACTCTGTGGAGGATGCAATGAATATTTTTTGGTGAAGGTACATTTTTTTCATCTGACTCCTACTTCGACCACTTGGGCCAGCTTCCCCACACTGTAGACCTATATCTAAATACACTCTACAATACTTATAAAAATAGCAGAGGGCCTTGTATTTACTGGTGCATGTACCAGGAGAACTCACTGGTGCTGCTGGAGGCTCCTCTCAGCCGCCTCCCACATGTACAGTTTGTGGGCTGTGATGGTGCTGGACAGGCTCTCCCAGTAGGCCTCCTCCTTCGACATGTCCAGGACCTTCAGACTCTGCACACTCCACTTATCCCTGCACCTGGATTCACCGACACACACAGAACACAGACCGGAGCGTTACAGGAGCTTCAGGCAACAGAAACAGGCACAACTGCTGGACCAGAGGAGCCACTGAGATCCACAAACCAGGTCCATGGAGCACACACCGACATGAAGGAGCATGTCCCACACATCCACTGCTACACTTTAGGAATCTTAGTTCAGCAGAAACTCAGACCAAGGAAAATACTCAAATATATCAGACGCCAGGGACAAGATGAGCATGTTTATGTCCCATTTCTTTGAGGGAAGATATCAGAATTAGTTTGATTTGAGTTTCAGCCCCTCTGGTTTATATGTCCATCCCTCTGCTTCTATTAATCCTATCCCCTATAACCTGTTTAAATGATCTGAGAAGACACGTCGCAGCACCATGACGAGACAGCCCTGAAGAGGGCAGCAGAGTCTAGGTCTGACACAGAAATACAGGTCTGATGAGAAGGAGCTCAAAATGCTTTACCCCAGCTGTAAGTGTCGCTGCATTGGGCTTCCCCGCTCGTGGTGGTTGATGAAAACATTGAGCGCTTGCAGAATGTCAGTCGGGTCAATGGGGTCAGAGGTCACAGGAGCTGTAGGGCTGGTCTGGACTTCACCTGTGGAGCACCTGGACTCTGCAGCCTCAGCTTCCTGCATTCAACAGCAGTGTTACAAATGCTCCCAACTGTAGGCACTTTAACATCTGTCACTCACCGCCCTGCGCCTGGAGCTCTGCTGGTCATATTCACACAGGAAATCCACCAACTGTGACACGTCCTTTATACCGAGAGTCTAAACAAGGAACAATATGCACTTCATACGGATCACTTTAAACATAGTGCTGTTAAAACATTTTTCAGACAACTTAAATATTGCAGGAAGGGGGTGTAATCAAACTAGAGGAACTGCTCTGTCTGTAGTGCTGTTAGTTAAACTTTAATCAGAGTTTTGTTTTACCATAATCAAAAAGAACATCACAGTCACAAGTTCGCTTGCATTAGCCAACTGTTTCTCCTAAACACGACCATGAACACTTATACTTGTACAGCCTCCTGAAAATGTGACTTTTCCGACCATCTAAAAGGTTTCCTAAAGTGTGCACTGTGTCACCATGGCAACATACACGCTGTACCCCAGACTGATGTTACTGCAAACTATCAGTACTTACCTTAAACAGACAGCCCGCTTTTAGACGAGTACGCTCATTTTCATCCAAGGACTGGAGCTCATTATCTGTTAGAAACTCAATCAAGAAGCCCTGAAAAGAAAGTGTCCTGATTATTATTTTTACAGACAATAGTTCAAACCAGTCATCATACTAAAACTCTAAGGAAATACAAAGGAATAGACTCGATACTCAGTACGATTTTGATACCACAAAGATATTAAACACACTCTCTATTTAGACAATAGAAAGTGACTGGATGACTTTTTTTTGTATCAATAGCTGTAAAATTTGTTGAGTCAAATGATTTTCAATACCTGTGACAATCCAAGTTCAAACTACAGACTCTATAATTGGACACAGCTAACCTGCGAGACATCATGTTCCAAATCGGAATGAGGATGGACCAATTGACTTAAAGGTTGTATAGAGGATTTTCCAAGGAACGAGAAATCCAGTGACTGTTTGTTCTTTTTCAAATGTTGCGCATGTGTGAAACCACCCCCCTCCCCTACAGCTCCTACGTAGAAACGCCTCCTCCCGCCTCCTCTTTACGCCAGAAACAGGTTTGTTAGGCAAGACGGAGTAATTTCCAGAGGAACAGTGAAGAAACGAATCGTTTTATCCCGTTAAGAGCGTCTAGAACAAGCAAATACACAACAAAACCTGCCCATGTTTCTCCGATGCTGCTGAAGTCAATGACATAGTGTGCCCGGTGTCATGGCGGCGTAGGTACCTTTGATATAGGGGTCACGTGACGGTGCAAAGCCTCTATACAACCTTTAACAAAAAATTGTCACCACTGTGTCTGTACCTGCTGCTGTGAGCCTCGTCATTTTAGTCTTAAAATGTTCATCTTAAGCCACTCTACATGATCATGATTTTGGGGTTTGTAATTTCGCTATTTTGTCCATAAATACATTTTAATATGGAACGCTGCTTCATATTGGCTCTCAACTGCTAGCCTTGTGAGCTTCATTTGACTGGAGAAGAACGCTGTGGGTGACGTCACACTCTCTTAGTCCGCTTCTCTCTACAGTCTATGCTCCACACAGTCTTTATTCACTTATCCTGCCTTTTTCTTACCGCTTCTTCACACAGTATTTCCATGAGTTTGTGCACAGTCCTTGGGCTGTGGCTCTTCTCCTCTGCCTTTGAATGTCTCTCTTGGTTCTGTGGTTCTTGGTTCTGCTCCTGGCTGCTCCGGGAGCTCTGGAGAAGCATGGATGTCTCCTCAAACCTCCTCCATGGCTCGGCACAGCTCAGCTCCGGTTGCTCCCAGGAGAGGTGCAGGACTTGTTGGTAGATGGTGGAGTCCAGGTCTAAAGCCCTCTCCAGCAGCTCCTTCACCTCCTCGTCCAGTGTCAGCCACATCTTCTCAAACTTCATTGCATCAGCAAGCAAAAAGCGTCTAGAAAATCAAATCACACAAATGACTGCATTTTAGCAAGCAGGAGGAATCCTTGAATGTATCTGTATAAATGTATCTGTATATGCCCTTATTAGGACTGAAAATCAGATTGAGCTGGTGTCGAAACTAAAGAATCGATACCAGCTCATTACCAGCCGCAGGACAGAAATGAACCTTCCGTGAATGTTTTAGAATGATGTTGAACTGAATCAGAACTGAAGTGTCAGAGCACATAGACTAGAACACACACGGACCAAGATGAACCTACTGCACCACTGAGGATTACACACATAAAAGACATAGGGGAATAAAAACTATTCTATGATTTAATGTAGAAAATCACATTGTATTGTCTAAAGAAAGAGTTTTTTTTTTTTTTTTTTTAATTATTATTATCATTGTGGTATCAGAATCAGTAGATATTAGATATCAGTTATAACGATTAACTTCAGGGCACTTTTCTGTAAGTTTCAGTGCTGAAATCCAGTTGGTTTAAACCTAAATTGTGTCTCTCTGATCTGAACGGTCAGTAAACCCCAGCACTTGCAGCTGTCATGAGTCAGTGCTAGTGCAGCCTCTGCGGCTCAGGGAGGCAATTCTGGAGGTTCTGAGCTTCACATGGCCTGTCCATAAACTGAGAATGATGTGTATGAGTCCTCTATCTGCAGGTGAAGCCTCTGAAGCACAGGTTGAGCTGAGATTGGAGTACACAGCAGTAAGATCACGAGCTACATACAGCTCCTCAAATTATACATCAGATTTTTATAAGTCAGTTTCTCAGTAACTACCTACTAGTAGTTTTCCCACATACTTGGCTCTGCTGTTTGTTCTTTTCACACAGATGTGTGGTGTGGTTGTGTGTGTTGCTCTGCTCATATCAGACAAACTCACAGGTTCTTCCTCTGGAGGTCCTCATAGACCTGGGCTTTACCCATCAGCTTCTTCAGCTCTTTGTCCATCAACTGTTTGTGTTTTTCATCAGCAGGTCCTTTGCTCAGTGTTAACACTGAGCTAACACTGCTACACAGAGAACATGTTTATGAGACACAAGAGTCACAAACAAAATACCAAAACATCAAGGTTTATCTCAGGTAGACAGATGACTGCAGTACACTGTCCACCTCTGGATTAAAGTCACAAAGCTCATGTGCTGACAGAGACTCCATAAACCCATAATGAGGCTTAGTGTGTGGGCAAAGGCAGGGTGGCATCACTGCTTCTTCCCTCTAAGAACTTTTTAGCTTTTTTGCATTAGAAATCCTACTGTCTCAGACTCCCACCAAAGAGAAAACGTAAAACATCTTAATTTAAAAACACTGTCTAGACAACCACCTCGGAATCTTAATCTCTACCTTGGACCTCTCCTGGATGAGTGAAGGAGTGGAATAGCTGCAGCGTGATGATTGTTGACCTCACCTGAGTTTGGCTTTGGCCTGTCTGTATTTGCCTTTGAGTTTATCGTTTTCTGCTGTGAGCCCCTCAAGTTTCAGCTCAGTGTACAGCCTCTCTGAGATCACCTGGTGTAGCTCCAGCTCCAGACTCTGCAGCACACAGACACATGAGTCTAGTGGAGACTGTGAATGTCCACTGAGCTTTTAGACATTTACCTGAAAAAGAGACGTGGTTCTATGGAGGGTAAAGTTTTTAAACATGTCAAACATCTTCGTGCGCATTTGAAATTCAAACTCCTCCACAACCTGCTGCCTCCTCAGCAACTTCTGCTCCTAAAACCACAACAACCCAATCAAAACAAACTGCAGAGTACAAAAGTATGAACATGAGCTCAGGTTTGTCACACACCTCTGACTCCCTGACCATGGCCAAGCCCCTGTCCCACACACTCTGGTCCACAGCGTGTTTAGCCTCCTCCTCCTTCTGCACACTCTGTCCATACAAACACACACATGAACACGAGCTACATCATGAGAACATGTGGAAATGTTAAAGCTCTGACCTCCTTCCACTGAGCCAGCTCCTCCCTGTGAGCCCTGATCACACTCTGGTCCTGCTCAATCACCCTGTCCAGCAACAGCTGAAGATATTCTGTTAACTTCTTCAGCTCCTGCTCAGACTAAACACCCTGTGTTATTTATGTTATGTTCTAGATTATGGCATGAGCTGATATCAGAGACAGAGTACCTGCGGAAGAGAGAGCTGTGTCGTCTGGTGAAGGCCTTCCTCAGACATCTGCTGCTGGAGCAGAGATGTCTGCTCCCCCACCGTCTGTTTTGTGCTGGACCACCTCCTGAAGATCTCCTCCATCTTGTTTTGGATGGAGAGCTTGTGATCTTCTACAGGTGCTAGTCTAGAAAATATTTCAGAAGTGGCTGTGTGGGTAAATGCTGCTGTAGATTTTCAGACAGTTCAGAGTTGAAGTCAAACCTGATTTTGTGAGTCCTCCACAGCACTGCTGTGACCTGTGCAGCAGCCTCCACATCACTGTTTATGTAGAAATCTCTCTTCTGTTTGACGGACGGACAAGCAGTCAGAGATCAACAAGTGGAAACACTTACTGAACAGTAGACTGCCACATGTTATATACAATACTTGTGTTCATATATTTCCACAGATTTTACAGTCACACATGATGAACACATGATGAAAAGAAGCACAAACCTTTTCTTTGCTTGACTCTGTCCTTTTATCACTGCCCTTCTGTTTGGAGGACCTATAGAAAACACACTCGTCTTTAATCCACACACGCTTAAAAACATCAACACAAGCAAACATGGTCACTGTCATACAAACTTACTCTGCAGGTTTGGCCTTCTTTGAGGTCTTCTCTGTCTTCTTCAGGTTTTTTGTTGTATTTTCCATATTTAGTATTTTCTTCAAGTAAATGTGCAATGCAGGTTAAACGTTAATTATGGAAAAAACAAATCCTTTCCAAAATATGAACTCACTGTTGTAAACTGTTGGATGTTGTGTGCTATTGTGGTTGCTAGATGACATGAGATATGGTTGCTATGGTAAAAAGAGCTGATTGAGTGTGTACACATGCACATGAGTATTCCCGGTTATTCTCCATATCTCGGTTATGTCAGTATTGGTGTTACTGCGTGTACATGTGCACTGAGAAACCGAGATACTCATATCCGCGTGTACATGATCAAAAGGAGTATCCCGGTTTCTTGACATAATCTTACAAATGTGCAAGAGCAAAAATTAACTTAAATCAATTTCATAAACCAGGAAAAATACAAACCGTGAGCTCCTTTAGCATAAGGAGCTACAAGATTTCCCACAATCCCCTGCACACATCAAACCAACAGATTCTTCATTAAAATCTTCTGCATAAATAAACTTAACTTTACAACATATAAACCAGAACCACTGTAGAGCCACATCAGCCCGTTTGATCAGATCATTCAGCTCTGATCACATTTGTTTACGTTTTACAGAAACGAAACTTAAGGGCCGTTCACACCAAGGCGTCAAAGCGTCCAGTTTCAATGTAAAGTCTATGTGGACGCGCGACTAGAGCGTCCTGCGTTTTTGCGGCGCGTTTTTTAAAGGTACATTAAAGCTGCGCGCGGCGATGGTGGCCCTCGCCCCGGGCGCGCACTGCCCCCCCACGCGACCTCCGGGGACTCGCGACCGCCCAGGCACGCCACCCTCTCTTCCCGACAGCTCCCAAGGCCGACAGGTCGTCCACCAGAAAAATGACATAGTGTACCTTTAAAATTGGATAAAGTGAATGATTCTAGAGACAAACTGTAGACACTAAGCCACAGGTCACGTGACTTTAATGGTCAAGAGCACTGTCACACTAAGACTAAGTGCATGAAAACACATCCTCCACCAGAAAAGTTACATAGTGTGCCTTTAAATTTCTCAGAAGTGAAATTATTCTAAAGGCCAAAGTGTAAAACTAGGGCATAGGTCTTACTGACTTTTATGATGAGGAGTACGTCAGTGAATGTTTTGGCAAAGTTTTACTAATGAATGTAAAACTAACTTTATGTCACACAATAATAAATTGTGTGCATTCATATAGGTGGCGCTGTATCCCTGATAACTGTATTTGACATATCAATGGAATAAGGGTCATGCAGTGTATAACTGATAGAAATGTCATCACAATCGGACAAAACATGTGCATATAATAATTTTTACAATATTTTTTGGAGGATTCTCTGTGCCCCTGCTGGCCAACCGTGAAAAATACACCATGACTGTAATAGACATTTTTGCTTATAATCATGCATAGAATTTAACCCCCGACTTTGGTCCAAGTCCGATAATGTTGACGTTTCATGTCTATGCTAGGGGGCGCTATAGAGTTCACAGTTCATATGTTTTATAGTGTATTATAATCAGGTCGAAATCAGAAATCAGGCATTAGTGATTCAAATTTCAGCATGATGGGACTAAGCCTGTGGGTGTAATAATTTTTTAACTATTTTTTGGGGGAGTCTTTGCGCCCCTGCTGGCCAATGGTGGAAAATGCATCATGTCCGTAATGAACTTTTTAGCTTGTAATCAAGCATAGAATTTATGCATAGAATTTATGCTTAATCCGATAATGTTGATGTTTCACGTCTATGCTAGGGGGCGCTATAGAGTTCACTTTTATTAAATTTCATATTTCATCACATTCAGGCCTGGATCACGCAATTGTGATTTGAATTTGAGTTCTCTAGGCCAATGCCTGTGGCCGTGACAGGTCACCGAAAAAACAGGAAATGAAGGCGTTTTTCGGCGGCGTGCTACGGGCGAACCGTAAGGAGTATCTCAAAAAAAGTTGAAAATTTCTGTGAGTTTATGTCTGTAGATGTGACATGTCAAATTTGAGCTCATTTGGACCAAACCCCGGGGACTTGAATCTTTTTGTAGACCCCCAAGTCAAAACGGCGGCGAATGTTTGATCCAATATGGCCGACTTCCTGTTCGTCATAGGGGTGCACAATGATTGACTTTTTTGTTTGTCTCTATGAGTTCTATCACTGCTCCGAATTTCGTGACTGTACGACAAAATATATATAATAGACTTTTTTGCTTGTCATCATGCATAGAATTTATGTCCCGAATTTGGTACTAATCCGATAATGTTGACATGTCATGTCTATGCTAGGGGGCGCTATAGAGTTCACTTTTCATATGTTTTATAGTGTATTATATTCAGGCCATGATCAGGCATTAGTGATTCAAATTTCAGCACGATCGGACTAACCCTGTGAGTGTAATTATTATTACATTATCGGATTAGTACCAAATTCGGGAATTAAATTCTATGCATGATTACAAGTCAGAAAGTCTATTTTGGACATGGTGCATTTTCCACTGTTGGCCAGCAGGGGCGCAATGACTCCTGAAAAAATTTAAAGGTGCATTATGTAACGTGTCTAATGGACGAGCTGTCGGCCTGGGCGGATGTCGGGAAGAGGGTGACGTGCCGGGGCGGTCGCGAGTCCCCGGAGGTCGCGTGGGGGGGCGGTGCGCGCCGGGGCGAGGGCCACCATCGCCGCTCATTGTGCTCATCTTTTTTGGCAATTTGCTTTCGAAGACCACAGTTCTTTAGTTTAAGGTCATGGTTTAAGGTCAAGGGTATATTTCCTCTGTTATTTCTGGCCATTTTTGTTTTATAATTGAGTTGTTTTGTAAGTGTTGCTGTACTTACTGTTACGCAGATAAAAAGTGCGACCTACTCTGTGAAATCTCCTCTGTAAAGTCTCCTCTGTGAAGTCTACTGTTTGAAATCTTTGTACGATTTGCTCTGTGTCAAGCTCAGCTGAATGTGCCTTTTCCGTTAAGCGATATGTGATTTTCGATTTGTGATTTGTGATTTGCGATTTGTGATTTATAATCTCCCCGAGGCCAAACAAAGCTTTGAGTTAAAGCCCACAAAGCTTTGAAGTTTAGCTTTGAGTTCCGGAGTTGCCATGGTAACAAGGCTTTATGGAACTTTACATGTATGATGTCATCGGCGCCGTGAACCTGATGGAACTGGGAGGTTTTCAGGTTCTAGAATGTGATGATGTCATACTCCCAGACGTAACCGGGGTACTGTTTTTACATGCACCATCAAGAAACCGGGATACTCAAAAAACCCGATCATAACCGGGTTATTGATGTGCATGTATACACACTGATTGATTGATTGATAAATAAATAAATAAATAAATGTTTTTTTTTTATTAATTAATTAATTAATTTTATTTATTTATTTATGTTGTCGTGTTCACAAATGTTGGAGTTAAAAGATGGAGCTTTGTTCTCTGTGATGAACACTAGATGGGGCTATAGCCTGAGAAAACACACTAAAGTTCAGAGCAGTCCATTCTCTCACGCTTCTCACGCGTGCGCTGTCCACTCAGAGGCCTCGCGCACTTCTTTATGAATAAATCCTAAACTGTGCAAAGTGAAGCGGACGTGCACATGTCCCGTTGAGTGTGCGCGTGTAGCTTTACGTTATGTCATGAATCAGTGGTCTGTAAACTTTAAAGAGACATTTGTCTACAATTATAAAACCTGTCAACATGAAGTAAATATGACAGTTCCCTCTTTTAGTCCATCCACGTGTGCTGGCGGTAATAACTGTGTGCACTCGGACATAGCCTCGTTCTCCCTGGGCTCCCTTTGAGCCTCCAGTGCTCCCTTTTCTGTGCACAGCCAGATGCAGGTTGTTGTCTGAGTTTTAGTAGCACAACAGAGTGAGAATGGAACACAGTGTTGAGTCACGTGTTGTTTTTGTGCTGGTTTTAAAGTGATAGTTCATTCTAGCAATAGAAATTTAAAACCATACTCAGACCATTCTCCATGGAGATAAATAAATGTGATGATCATGTAGAAACATCTGGAGTCTGGCCAAATGTGATCGTCCAATCACATCATTTTTTTCAGAGAATCATTTGAAACAAAGCAGCTCATTGGTCACCACCATTTACACATAACATCAAACTTCTCCCCCTCAGATGAACAGAGTTTAGGGCTTCACTCATTCATTCTGCAGAAACCTGTCATGTTTTTCAGCCCTGTGTAATTTATTTTTTATTAATTTTTTTTCTGATGTGTGCCCCTGATCTGTCAATATGTCAAATCTGTCAATCACAGCCATTTGAAAATGGAGCGATTCAGCCGTGACCAGACTCACATCTTTGTATTCAAGTACTGCAGAAGTGAGTGTTCTGGGTCCCAGGCAAGAAATAAGCAACATTTCCATGGAAACAAGCAGGAGAGGCCCTCACTGAGCGGCATGTTCTTCAGTACAATAACCATCATAACAAAATAAGAATGAAAAATGAAAAAAGCATGTTTAGTTTAGTTTACACAGACGACACAGCGGTGGTTCTGTGATGTCCAGAGGGGGCGCGCTCAGAGAAATGCCACGGTCAGGTTCAGGTAGAAGTGAGAGCATCAGCAGTGACACAGATGCTCTGAATGCAGAAGGGAAGTGAGGAATAACTTTGGACCACTGCAAAAATATTTACAATGATCATGTTTTAAACCCAAATCAGGTGTCTTTAAAAGGTGTATTGTGTAACTTTTCTGGTGAAGGGTCTGTCAAATGCTTTTCTTCATGGAGATGTTATTGCTTTGTCTGGAATGTTTCACAGTATGGCATTAAACCTTTCTATCATCGTGGAGAACAAACTAGACCAATAATTATGTTCTTTTTCAGATCAAGAGTTTGTTCTGCTCCTGTGTTCTTCCTCAGAGTCTCGTGATGTTGCTCAGTTGATCTAAACAGGTTTTGGTGCCGTCTTTCTACTGGAGAATGCAGGACGACAGCGCCACCTGCAGTCCCACTTCCTCGGGACAGAATTCCAGGTGTAAGTAAAAAAGCCACCAAAATTCTCCAACATTATAACAGATGAACCAGACAAACAGGAGGAAGACACAGCCACAACACTCTGAAGCAACAGCTGAAACGAGCAATAAACAAAGGAAAACAGGTCAGAGAGAAAGAGAAACAAAACCAGAAAAACAAAAATAAAACAGGAAAAAAAAACATCAGGGGCATAAACAGAAAAAGTGCAGAGGGCAATGACCAGTGAAACCAAACAGAAAAACTCAGGCAAATACTCGTCCACCCAAAAGAAAATAGAACCGGAGCATAAATGTAATGTCATATACAAAACACCTGCATGTCCTGCAATAAAACACACACCGAGGAAACAGGGAGAGTGATCAGTCCACGAAAAAAAGGAACATAGGACAGAATGTGAGAAGGAAACAGCAAAGGTGAAACAAATGGGCTGTTTGTGACACTGTAAAAGAGAACATTTTGGACTGGGACGGAGCAAATGTCACTAGGACAGAGGAAGGGTGAAAAAAATGCATAGCACACTCGGTTGGCCGATGTCCAAAAGCTTTTTTATTAACAAAATAACGGTTTGTCAAAAAAAAAAAAAAAAAAAAAAAAAAAGCCTTCAGATTGTAGCAGAGGGGGGCTTCAAAAGGGGATTCCCCCACTTTTATTTATCCTTTTATTTTATTTACAACACAGGTAAGTCTGGCTTAAACACAGGACAAAGGCATTAAAGTGGAAAAATATACGGTTCTTTATTTTAGTTAATATTAAAAAAGAGCTCATTTTACACATTTTCTTTTAAAAAGATACACAATCACATTTTTAGATGCAAAGTCCTAGGTGTGTGGCTTCGCTGGACTTCAGATGTTTTAAAGTGCACTATCCGCCATTGCACACCCCCCTAGCCAATCACTATAGCAATTTCACTCCCACTACAGCAGGAGTGTCCAAACTTTTTCATCAAGAGCCACATATCTAAACACAGATGAAGCAGAGGGCCGATCGAGGGCCGTAGACTGATGCTCAATACAGTTAATTGAAATATGTGCATGTTTAACATGTTAGAATGAGCCATCAGACTTTATTCATGCCAAGACTCTCAAATCCACAAACTAAATATTAAATATTGGCTTTATCAAGGTAGATTTTCAAAAAAAAACTTGCAATAAAAAGTAAATTTTTCATTGATGCAAGGTCATTTGGGCCAATTCTCCTGGAAAACTGAGGGCCAAGAAAAAAATTGTCTGAGGGCCGCATTTGGCCCACAGGCCATAGTTTGGACATGCCTACATTACAGGTAAAAGAAACTACAGAATCACTTTAAGAGAAAATGTAAGGGACTTGGACGTCGAGAATTTGAGAGCAGAATCTAGCAGAGATATATCAATAATACACTCCAACAAACGCCACCACCCCCAGCATGCATCACCCAGAGCCTCTACCTGGTTTCTACAGTAGGTGTATTCTGGGGGTCGGGAGCGCGTCAGGAGCGGCCGCCGTCTCCGCCTGCTCCAGACAACACCTTTAAATTTAAGCACCAGAAACAAGGCATTAAAAACAAATTCTAAAAAACACTGAAAAACAACTCCAGCACTCACACGGGCCGCGTCTGCAAGCCTCGAAAGCCCCGACTGCCCCACTACAGCGCGCGCAGCCTTTTCTAATCGCCTAATCAATGACGCCGGCGACGCACAGCTGGACGCCTTCACGGACGCACCACAGTCAGAATAGTTCAAAACACCCGGTTACAAGATATTTTTCTTGTCTTGGACACCTGGGCTGGCAAGCATTTTGTGTGCTGTGGTCCAAGACAAGAAAAATATCTGATGAAGGCTTTTTTTCCCAAAACGTTATTTTGTTAATAAAAAAGCTTTTGGACATCGGCCAATGGCCATCGGAGTGTGCTATGCATTTTTTCACCCTGGTCTGGCTACTCCTTACATTTGTACCTCTACAAGAATTTTGGTGTGCGTTTTCTGTTTCTTTTGACTGGGACGGAGGAAAACAAACATCGTTTCTGAAATACAGAAACATGCCCACGGGACGATAAACCGGGACCAGGGGCTTTTTTACTCACACACACCTGTGATACTGTCCTGAGGAAGTGGGACTGCAGGTGGCGCTGTCGTCCTGCCTCCTCCAGTAGGAAGACAGAGACAAAACCTGTTTAAATCAACTGAGCCACGTCACAGAAACATCACGAGACACTGAGGAAGAACACAGGAGCAGAACAAACTCTCAGGGATGAAAACAAACTTTGATCTAAAAAAAAAAGAACCTAATAACATGAATTTTTGGAAGACAAAAGGAACCTCATTGGACTATAAACTAGACCAAGTTACAGGTCAGATCTGTCAGAATGTCTGTTTTTCTAGGTATTTTTAAGCTATAAATCCAGGTGTGATTTCATAAATGTAAGGCAGGGCTGTTTAATGTCACACTGTGGAACATTCCAGGCAGAGTAATAACATCTCCATGCAGACAAGCCCCCCTCCCCTCCTCCTCCTCCCTGTAACCCCTCTCTTTGCCTCTCCCTCCTTTGCACAGCCCCTTCCTCCAACCCCCCACCCCTCCCTGGAGCCCCTCCCTGCCCCCTCTCCCCTCCTTCTGCAGCTGAGAGCTTCTGGCTGGGTCCAGGCTCGGTCCAGTCCAGTCCTGGCCCACATGTCGGTGGAGATGCTGCTCCTGGTGCTCGCGCTCGGGGCTGGTGAGTGACTTCACTTTTCACAATCCTTCACAGCTGCGTTTGAACGTCAGGGGAAAACTTTTGACCTTTCTGAGCTGTTGCTTTTGTACACGCTGGCTCTTCTGTGGCTCCAGTAATGTGATGTTTGTTTTGTAAAAATGCAGTGGAGCTTGGATCTTCTTCTACTCACACAGAGTTTTAATCCAACATACTGAGTTGAGTTGTTGAGCAAAAACATTGATTTTGTAGACTTCAAGCTTTTCTGGTGGAGGGTCCATCACCTTCTTGTTTCCACGTTTTTATGTCATTGCTCTGCTTCAAATGTTCCACAGTATGGCATTAAATATAAATCTACCTTATGTATTCTTTTAGAGGTGGTTTTATAACAGAAAAAAAACAGACATTCTTACTGTCCACAGATCTGACCTGTAACTTGGCCTGGTTTGGTCTCCATGATGATAGAAAGGTTTAATGCCATACTGTGAAACATTCCAGACAAAGCAATAACATCTCCATGGAAACAAGCATTTGACAGACCCTCCAACAGAAAAGTTACACATTGCACCTTTAAGTACGTACATATTTTTTAGAGTCGTGTTATAAGTCACTGTTATAACATTGTTCCTTATATACTGTATGTCATCCTTGCATGTTTAAGTCATCTAGTGATCTGTCCAGGACCCTATTCGATTCTGTCCAATGTCACCCATGCACTCTGTAACTTTTCTGGAGATTTATTTACCAGCTGTTGGTCTCCATGGAGATCTGTATTGCATTGCCTGTAAAGTTCCACAGTATGGCATTAAACGGATCTGTAGTATTTATTTCAGTGCTCAGAGTGACCTTACCTCTCCACACATCTGACCTGTGTCTTTCCTTCATTCATAAGTCCTGTGTCACTGTGAAGGATTTGAGACAAAGTATCAATGTCTCCACGGGGACCAGCGGGTGGCAGACTCTCTACCAGGAAAGTTCCCTAGTGTTCCTTTAAGAAAAGACCTATTGTGGTATTTTGATCTCTGGATCCTTTGGGCAGCTGAAAATAATAAAGAGCGAGAGCGAGAGCTGAGAGCACATGTGAGTGACAGAAACCTGCTGACCACATGCTCCTGCTCACTCCTGTCTGCTCCTGCCTGCTCCTGCCTGCTCCTGTCTGCTCCTGCCTCCTGCTCCTGTCTGCTCCTGCTCCTGCTCCTGCTCCTCCTCCTGCTCTGCTCCTGCTCTGCTCCTGCTCTGCTCCTCTGCTCCTGTCTGCTCCTGTCTGCTCCTGCTCCTTCTCCTGTCTGCTCCTCTCTGCCTGCTCCTGCTCCTGCTCCTGCTCCTGCCTGCTCCTGTCTGCTCCTGCCTACTCCTGTGTGCTCCTGTCTGCTCCTGTCTGCTCCTGCTCTGCCTGCTCCTGCCTGCTCCTGCCTGCTCCTGTCTGCTCCTGTCTGCTCCTCCTGCTGCTCCTGTCTGCTCCTGCTCCTGCTCCTGTCTGCTCCTGTCTGCTCCTCTGCTCCTGCTCCTGTCTGCTCTGTCTGCTCCTCTGCTCCTGTCTGCTCCTGCCTGCTCCTCCTGCTCCTGTTCTGCTCCTGCCTGCTCCTGTCTGCTCCTGTCTGCTCCTGCCTGCTCCTGTCTGTTCTGCTGGTAGAGGTTGGTGTTCATGATTCATTCTCACCATAACATTCAGTGTTTTCCATGTGCACCAAAGCAAAGCTCCAGCGCTCAGCTCAGCAGATGCACTCTCAGTTACCATAGCAACCGCAATAACAAGTTAAACTGTGAGTGCAGCTTTATACGCTAAAGCGACGCTAACGTAATCTGTCCTCACTCTGAGAACAAGCCAAACACACGAGTACTGCAGGAGAAAGTTAAACGCATATTAAAGCTTTGCCTGTAATTTTCCACAATATGGCATTAAAGGTCCTATAGCTTTTAGCCACGTTATAATGCTGTTACCTACAAAAACATGAAGTTGTGTTGTTGTTTCATTCACACATGTTTAACACACACACACGCACACGCACATGCACATGCACGCACACACACACACACACACACACACACACACACACGCACACACACACACACGCACACACACAGCACACACACACACACACACACGACACACGCACACACACACACACACACACGCACACACACACACACACACACACACATGCACGCACACCACACACACACACACACACACACACACACACACACACGCACGCACCACACACACACACGCACACGCACCACACGCACATGCACGCACACGCACACACACACACACACACACACACACACGCACACACACACACACACACACACACACAACACCACACACACACATGCACGCACCACACACACACACACACACACACACACACACACACGACACACACACACACACACACACACACACGCACACACACACACACACACACACACACACACACACACACACACACGCACACACACACACCACGCACACACACACACACACACACACACGACACACACACACACACACACACACGCACACACACACACACACACACACACACCCTGCATGAGCACACATCTCAGCCTGAGCAATACTGACCCTTTAAACACATCGACCTGAGGCTCTATTCACACTTATGTCACAAACCAGGAAGACGTTTGGAAACATGGGATCACAACTTCCCAGGCCCAGTTTTCTTCATCTCCGTGTCATTGTAGCGTTCCATTATGTTTGGCTCATCAACAATTCCAACCACACTCAGTTTTTATTATTTCTCCACTGACACACAACTCTGAGTGCACTGGTACATGTGATGAGAAGAGATGAGGCCAAACTCCAGATGATTCCAAACACCACATACGTCTGCAGTCTTCATTTTAACTCTGATCACATTTACTTCAGTGGGTTTGATCACAGTCTGTTTGAATAGATCCATGTTAGTCGAGCTCATTGTCAGTAATTACATCGGGAGTTGTAATCGCATCTTTCCAAACGTCTTCCTGGTTTGAGACGTAAGCGTGAATAGAGCCTATTGTGTACAGTAGTGAGATTTCAGGCGTGTGTCCCTCTTCAGACAGAACTCCTGGAGACTCAGTTGTCTCATGTGTCAGGTCCATATGTGCACTTTTTCACATATCGGATACTGACCACAGAACAGGCCGTGCTTATGGACACGCTGCTCTGGATTCAGAAACAGCAGCAATTCTTCTGATGTTATAGATGAACATCAGAAGAATTGGTGTGTTTGCAGAGACAGAGGCGGCCGTGTGCTACACTGGACACATCTGTGTTTTCATCACAAACTGACACATGACTGCGATAGAATGAACTATGATCAGGACACTACCCCCCAACCTCAGGCAGAATTAGAAAAACATACAGATATAAATCATATGTGTGGTGTATTTCTCACTGGTCGTGTGTGTACATGTGTAACCTGTCTGTTTCACCTGTCTGTTTCACCTGTCTGTGCACAGCTGTGGCAGGGGGACAGGGGGCCCCGGGCTCCTGCAGCTTTGAGATTCACACCTGTGGATACACGTCAGACCCAGACTACAGCCCCTGGAGCCTGCACTCTCAAGGTACAGCGCCCCCTACTGTTCATGTGCACTTGCATGTTTGGTTGATCCTGTTGAATTTTACGCACTTCCACAAAATGAGCAGATGGTGGAAAACTATATTTCAAGTAGAACTTCTGTGAAATCAAAAAGAATTTACAGAAAGATCAAAGCCAGACTGTGGTCAGCTGATATGAACTGACCCGGGTTTCCAGGCTCCTGCAACTTAACGACTCTACTGGGATGAGACAAATATTCCTCAAGCACATGGAAACAAATCAGGTACACGACCTGTAAAGTGGAACTAAACGCCTCAACTCCACAACACATGGAGGACTAAAGGCTGAATTATAGTTCTGTGTCGACTTGCACACTGCCAATGTCGCCTTAGTTAAAACTAACCTCTCTGCAGGGGGTTTGAAAAAATCTGCCATCATTTGGAGAATTTTCTCTTTGTCGCCTTCAGGGGGCGCAACGAGCAGCTGTGTCGCTGTTGACAGGGACCAAACAGAAGCAGTTTCCTGCAGTGCACTGTTTGAGCCGCTCTTCACTCGCCTCCAGTCCAGTTTAGAATTCATTTGAACATCTGAATGATTCATATGGCACTGCCCCGGTCTACCTGTCTGAACTGCTCAGTCAGGGGGACACAGGGGACACAGGGGACACAGGGGACACAGGGACACAGGGAACAGAGTGGACAGAGTGGACAGGGGGGACGGAACATTCCCAGGCATAGCTCCTAAACTGGTCTTGCTCTCCACATGTGAGCTGTACGATCTGTGGAGCGTTGTAAAACCTGACTAAAGATTCATTTTGATTGGTTGGTGTTTGAGCAGATCCATTGTCACTGCTGCACGAATCTAATGTGTTTTTATTGTTTGTTGTTGTTGTTGTTTTATTGTTTGCTGTGTTTTGTCATGCTTAAACTGTGAAACACTTTGGTCAACTGTGGGTATTTTAAATGTGCGTTTGAAATACATGTGACTGACTGACAGGTGAGACAGGTGAGGGGCAGGGCAAACAATCAGCACACAGGAAGTAAATCTAAAAACATAGGAAGCAAAACTAAACACAGGAGGAGACATGTCCAAATAAAGTCCAAGGACATGAACAAGGTCAAACATTTCAATAAGTAACAGAACACACGTCTGTGACTCTGGACATGTTTGAACAGACGACTCTCAGACAGGGGTCTCTGCTCTCTGCTCTGTCTGATGTGGATCATGGTCCCTCTGCCCTGAGTGTAGTTGCTCTGTGCTCCACATCTGCTCCATCTGGAGCCGAGAGGAGACCGTCCTGCTTCTGTTTATGTTAAGACACACCCCTCACTGGCTCTGAGCACGCGCCAACATGTGCTGTGTGCAGCTGAGGAGATAAGAGCAGAGGAGAACAGAGCAGAGCAGAGCGGAGGAGAACAGAGCGGAGGAGAGCAGAGCGGAGGAGAACAGAGCGGAGGAGAACAGAGCGGAGAGAGAGCGGAGGAGAGAGAGCAGCAGAGCGGAGGAGAACAGAGAGCAGAGCGGAGAGAGAGAGGAGGAGAGCAGAGGAGGAGAGCAGGAGCGGAGGAGAGCAGAGCGGAGGAGAACAGAGGAGAGGAGAACAGAGCGGAGGAGAACAGAACAGAGGAAACAGAGCGAGGAGAGAGCGGAGGAGAGCAGAGCGGAGGAGAACAGAGGAGAAGCAGAGCGGAGGAGCGGAGGAGAGCAGAGCGGAGGAGAACAGAGCGGAGGAGAGCAGACGGAGAGAACAGAGGAGGAGAACAGAGAGGAGACAGACAGAGGAAAACAGAGCAGAGCGGAGGAGAACAGAGCGGAGGAGAACAGAGCGGAGGAGAGCAGAGCGGAGGAGAGCAGAGCGGAGGAGAACAGAGCGGAGGAGAACAGAGCGGAGGAGAACAGAGGAGAGGAGAACAGAGCGAGAACAGAACAGAGAACAGAGCGGAGGAGAGCAGAGCGGAGGAGAGGAGAACAGAGCGGAGGAGAACAGAGCAGAGGAGAACAGAGGAGAGGAGAGGGATCAGGCTGATCTGGATGTGAGTGGACCAGCATGTATAAGACTGTTTTAAAGGAGCTGTATGCAGCCTGTGCTCTTACTGTTGAAAAAAAGGTACAACAGTCTAAAGTGACCCTGTGTCTACAGAGTCTTCACCTGCACACAGAGACACATCCAAGTTTGTCTCATTCTCACTTTATGGACAGGCCTCATGTAAAAGCTCAGAACCTCCAGAATTCCCTCCCTGAGCAGCAGAGGCTGCACTGGCACTGACTCATGATGGTGCAGGTGCTGGGGTTTAGGGAGAGACTGTTCAGATCAGAGACACATTTTAGGTTTAAACACACTGGATTTCACCATTGAAACTAGAAACCCACATGAGAGAGTCATGTGAGGCTCATTCTGTTTTCTGTCACAATTGAACACTCAGTCAACAGAGTTATGTTCAGATGAAGAACCCTTCAACACTATATGAATATAAACAGCTCTACAGTTTCACAGGCCTCATGAGTCCAGTCTCATAAGAGTTGCTTGGTTGGTTTTTGCACACTGATAACACAGTGTAAGTGTCAGTGCAGACGCTCTGGAGAGTGACAGACTCATGTAACTGTCTTTAGTCTTTCACTTTGCCTCCTTGTTGGAGTGTTTGATTTTCTGTTCTGACAGAAATTCCGCTGACTGGCACAGTCTGTAGTAATGAAGCGCTCCTTTCCTGAACTCCGTCTACTCAAACCTGGCAGGCCTCATGGGAAACAGTTAAAAGGTACATTTATATAGAATCCAGGAATCTGTCAGTCCAGCCAATTGACTTCCTCCTAAAAACAGCATATCTCTGTGCATATGCTGTTTTAGCATCGTCCAGTGTTTCTGGTGCTTAAACTTTGTGCTGCCTCCAGTGACCACTGCAATTTCAAGTAGTTGATGAAATCACACAGCACTGCCCTGCAGCCAGGTGTTTCTGATACAAACTCTTGGCTCAGGGGGGAGTTTGAAGTGTGGATATCTTTTAGAGCAAGGTGACCACAGGTTGACCTCAGCTGAGTCAGGCGCACTGTACTCTCTGCAGCTGGACATCATCTCCACCTCCAACACTGCCCACCTCCAACACTGCCCACCTCCAACACTGCCCACCTCCAACACTGCCCACCTCCAACACTGCCCACCTCCAACACTGCCCACCTCCAACACTGCCCACCTCCAAGAGAAAGTGCAGTGTTTTTTTTCTTTGTTGTGAGAAGAATCTCGAGTCTTCCTGATCCTTCAGCTCATCAGTGTCTCTGTGCAGAAGGTGGCTGTGCTTCTTGAGTCTTGGGTGAGACAGTGTGTGTTTGTGGCTGTGAATTCAGATTGAAACAAAACAAAATAATCTTGTATTGTCAATGGGAGCAGCAGCAGGGAGTGTGTACTCTGACACATAAACACATGTGCTGGACATTAGCTTCTCCACACTCCACCAAATGTTCTCACACAGCAGCCTCTGAAGGAGGGGCCGCGCTGCTGACTCTATATGAAATAACTGTCTGTGACCCCAGATACAAAGTAAACAAGTTCAAATCAAACACAGATTTTACCCATAACAATTCTACTGCAGATTTATTCTTAATTGCAAAAACACTGGACATAATGTCCAAGTAGTTTATGTTTATATTTTATATTTGGTGGTTTGGTTCTGAAGACGATTCTCCAATCAGAAAGCAGAATGAGCCTCACATGACCCTCTCTCGTCTGTTGCCAGTTTCAGTGTTGTAATCCAGTTGGTTTAAACCTCTGATCTAAACGCCAGCACCTGTTCCAGTCATGAGTCAGTGCTAGTGCAGCCTCTGCAGCTCAGGGAGGGAATTCTGGAAGTTCTGAGCTTTTACATGAGGTCTGTCCATGAACTGAGAATGAGACAAACTTGGATGTGTCTTTATCTGCAGGTGCAGACTCTGGAGACACAGGGTCAGTTAGAACTGGGGTCTTTTTCTTTGAAGGTCCTGTGTTGTTCAGTATTACACAGCTAAAGCTCGGACCTCAACCGTTTGTATTTTGTGGTGTAAAGGCCAAGTTGGAGGAGTCTCGTCTGATCTTTTTTTCTAATCAGAGCCAGGCCTGGTTTGGGAGACTGCAGGGAATACCAAGGGCCACAGGGGGAAGTGCATACATTTGTTGTATCCTCCTATACTCCCGTATCTGCATTATTCCAGAAGCTGCTGTGGGCGCCACCATTAATGTCTGGGTTATATTATTTTGTACGGGGCTGATCTTGACAGTAAATAAGTTCAATATGGACAATAAAGCCATTTTAAAGCCTCCACAGAATCGGTGCAGTGTGACTTGTTGGTCACATGAACATGTTTCAGAAATTAACTGACTTTATGTCATATTTAAGATGCAAAACATTTCCCAAATTCTCCATTGACGTGAATGGGCCACCACAAAAAAGTGTGGTTTAGGAGCATTTAGAGACAAAAGTGTGCGGATAAGGTGGATGCGACTAATGCATTTGCAATATGAAACAGCTCAACAGATAAACATTGCTAAAAGTTAAAGGAGTTCTGGCCAAAATAGAGGAATTTGCGTGTTTGTTTTGATCCTAGTTTCAAAATAATATAATAAAAAAGTGCTTGCTCTGGCCGTGGGACCTGGACCTAAGCGTTTGAAGTGTGTCTTTCCTCTGATTTTGGCCAACTCATAAATAATGACTGATTATATTTTTCACAATAACGCAGCCCAGGCTTTGAAAGGACACAGGCAGCTGAAAATGAGCCGACATGTTCTGAGCATGTGCAGGACATGGAGCAGGCTGTTCACACCTGCTAACAGCATGAACGCACCGGGACGACCGCGCTTTCCTCTTCCTTTTTATGAAGCCAACCTGTCAATCACTCTCTGTCCACACATGTGAGAGAGAAGCAGGGACTTAAAGCTGCACTATGGCACTTTTCTGCTTATCTCCTTTAAATGTAAATATACATGAGTGAGTTTATTGACAGTGGTAGAGACGTGAGTGATGCACTGTCAAATCTAACACTAGGGTTCACTTTCATTCA